TGCGCAGCACGATTTGTCACCCACGGACACTTTCCGCGCTATTTTCTGAAAACGCAGGCACGAAACCGAAAAAAAATCAGCAATCCCCTTATGGAACAATTCACTCCACACGGATATATTAAAAAAATCGAATCCAAAAGCCTACTTTCGCAAATAGAAAAGAAAAAAGTAAACTGCGTCGCACGATCTAACAGTCACTGACACATTCGGCACTATTTTTGGAAAACGCACGCCGGAAAAAGAAAAAAAGTAATCAATCCTATTAGAAAAAATTCTACTCTACACTGTTAAACGAAAAAATCCGAATCCAAAAGCCTGATTTTGCAGATCGAATCAAAAAAAGCCAATTGCGCAGCACGATTTCACAGCCACTGAAACATTCGGCACTATTTCTGGAAAACGCACGCACGAAACCGAAAAAAAGTAATCAATCCCGTTAGAGAAAATTCTACTCTACACTGTTAGATGAAAAAATCCGAATCTAAAAGCCTAATTTCGAAGATCGAATACAAAAATGTCAATTGCGCAGCACGATTTCACAGCCACTGTCACATTCGGCACTATTTCTGGAAAACGCACGCACGAAACCGAAAAAAAGTGATCAATTCGATTAGAGAAAATTCTCCTCTACGCCCTTATATAGAAGAAACCTAATCGCAAAGCCTAATTCCAACGATAGAATCCAAAAAAGTCAATTGCGCAGCACGATTTCACATCCGCTGACACATTCGGCACTATTTTTGAAAAACGAATGCTCGGAACCGAAAAAAAGTAATCAATCCCATTAGAGAAAATTCTACTCTATACTGTTAGATGAAAAAATCCGTATCTAAAAGCCTAATTTCGAAGATCGAATACAAAAATGACATTTGCGCAGTACGATCTAACAGTCACTGACACTTCAGGCACTATTTTAGAAAAACGCACACACGAAACCTAAAAAAAATATCCAATCCCGTTAAGGAAGAAATTACTCTACGCTGTTATGCCGAAAAAATCTAACCGAAAAGCCTAATTTCAGAAATATAGGCGAATAAAGTTTACTGTGTAGAACGATTTCACAGGCACTTGCTTTTCCGTTACTTTGTTTCATATATGCACCTTCAATCGTAATATAATTGCCCTACTGGTTGGAGAACAGCCTATTCTATGCAGTAGGAAGGAAATATTGTAATCCACAATTGAAATTTAGAATGTAAAAGAGATAATACATAACTATATTGCAATGGAACCTCAAGATCGAAGAAAAATTGAAAAAACTGTTTAAAAGCTGCCTATTCAGAGTAATGTTGATCAAATATTCCAACGAACTGTTGAAATTTAGAATCTTCTACAGGCGATCATAACGGACAATGCGATAGTATTATAGGATCTCGCACTCACACCACTTCATTTCGCACATGTATCATTACACAGTTTACACTATGTAACATCACTTTTTTTCACATATAGTATATTACCACCGTAGAAATGTTCACAGTTAGTAATCTTGAACTCCGTAAAGTAATTAAAACGTCAATCGGCGATATCACTACTTCACGAAACATTCTGAGATTTAATGTTTCATTTTGACGCGTGAGAATATTTCACCATGTTACTGTTATGCCCGCTTGCCGCCAACTGGAAGTTGGTTGTAGCCGGATATACTAGGTATTTTTGTAGCGGGAAAATGTAAAGACAAACCATTACTATCTTCGGCAATGGTTCAAGCACTCTATGCAATAATCACCAATAATGAATTAAATAACAATGAATTCATATCCAGACTTATATTAGAAGGTTCGCTGAGGCTGTGTCTTCACGATGCAATTACAAAAGTTGTTGAATTAATTACACACGAACATTAAGTCACAGATAAAAGCGAGTGATTTTGCTCTTGGTAAAAAGAAAATGAAACTACGATGGTTATATATTTATGTACCTTTTATTCATTTTGGAAGTTTCACATATACACGTTAATTATTAACAACATAATTCTTCATTTCTTTTTTTATATCTTTCAATTTATTTTTTATCCTTCCCTTCATTACTTGGAAAATATAAATATAAGACAGTCAATGAAAAATTCTACCTTCTATAACATAGTTATAATGTAAACAATAAACTAACTCTTTCTCTTTATTTATAACTTCTAATTCTTCTTGAGTTTTTACTTCGGCGTCACTTTCCCAATCGCTACTGCGGCCTTCCTTCCTTTTTTTATTTGCAAGTCCAGATGGTTCAACAGTTGGTTGTGAGCTTAATTTTGGATTAGTTAAATGGTCATGAGCTGATTTGCCTTTACCAGTAAACTTTTTATTTAGTATCACAGATTCCTCTTCATCTTCCTTTGCTTCTCCACCAAATGATAAAAGATTCAAATCTCTGTAACACAATTTTTCGTTGTAAAGAACAATACTATCAGGACTAAATTCTGCAAACATATATGATTTTTACTTTACTGCTGCTGTTTTAGTTTTTTAACTGTTCTTTACTTCTTCACTTTCCTGTACTATTATTCTTGGTATAATATCAGAAAATGGATTGTTCAATATTATAGTTTTTATAAATCTTGGAGGATAAAGTGGTCTATCATTCTACAAAAAAGAGGAAATATTATACTTATATCAATTCTTGATATATTTTCTTGTAAACATTAAATTTACCTCACCTACAAGTGCTTCTGCAAGTTTAAGCATGTAATATATAGCTTCTCCTGTAACTTTACCAAAGATTGTATGTTTATTCTGCAAATCTGTAATCTTGTATAAAATTCTTGTATGAAATTAACTAATACTTATTACTTTACCCTTAGTGGCTGGCTCTTGCATATATATATTACTCATGTCTGTAAGTCT